TTTTTGACTTTCATTCATTTATATTTATTTTGGAGAGAAAAAGGTGAAGAAGCATGAGCTCATTTGTAAATAATTATAACATTCTACAATGAAAAGCCTCTACAAAAGCTAGGGTTAGTAATCTTCTTCAAAATGTAATTTCTCATCACATCCTGAAAGCAATCAATAAATCAAATGCTCCGACAGAAAAAGAGAATAAATCCGGTATCTGTGACTCTGCGACTTTCTCGCTAGATTTAGTGAAATGGAAAATGTGAAAAGATTTAGCAACACTAAGCTGTTTTTTTAGGTTGTATGAAATTTAAAACCTTGCATACTCTTGCTAGTTTCTCAACATTATTAGCTCTAGCTTTAATTTAAGGAGCCGTGCAAGTCATTTTCCACAACACTGTCCTGCACATATTTCAGAATAAAAGCCTTGAAGGGATTCTGTCCAATTAAAGACGCTGGAGTGCTTCTATTTTAAAAGTAAACAGGAAGTGTTTGATAATAGCTTAACTTTTTTCATGTCTGTAATATGTTCTACAGATACAGGCGTCAACACTGTAGTTATGTTGCTGGTGTGATGTCAATATTCTGTCAAAAGATCACTTTAACTGTAAAAACAGGCAAGAATCTCTAGAAGCTAGCAGCTAACACGCAGCCGAGCCACGATGCTAACACCGGGCGTAAAGACTTCTGCTACGTAGACTTTACGTAAAAAGTAAAGATAGGATTAAATGTTGAATATGTTTAGTTAGCAGTTAACTTTTAACTTAAGAAGTATCACTAAAATACTGTTTATCTATCTGAGTAAATATAGTCAACTAAGACAACCACTCAGTTAGCTGAAAGGCTAGTTTTGCATTATCCTCATGGTGTCTTTCTAGACAGTGTCTCCAGCCCGCTAACATTAGCTACCGTAGCTTAGCAGTGTTTACTTAGCTGACATAACTTGCTTCAGCAGCTGAGAACGGTTTAGGTTCTTCCTGAACTCCTCGACATTGTTGTTAAAAGTAACGTCGCAGAGAAAGTAAAAGTATGTAAATTGTGCACATTTGAGGTCAGCTTGCATTCAAACGCCAGTACAGTGATGGCGACTCGTTAACCTCCACTATTTCCCCGGCGGCTTGTGTAATGTACTGTAGTTACTGTCAACGTCCCATTAAACTGCCCTCCAACAATGTAAACTGTGAGCAGCCGTTGGGCGGTGCAGTGTCGTAGGTTTGAATTGCTTTATTTGGTGAAAGCATTCGTTTAACATGTGAAACAAACATTATTTCACTGACATGAGGTGTAATCCGGAGTTCACAGGTGATTCGCCCTGAGACGTTCAGGAGACTGCCTTCTTTTGCTGTTAAATGCCTAAAAGATTTAAAAAGACGTTGACGACATTTACAACTATTGAGTCAAATATAAAAGGCAACAAACACAAAGGAATAAAGCTTAGATTTTGACGTACGTACCCTTAAACCCATGGGTGTGCATGCATGTTGTTAAGTGGAAATAATTGTTTGAGTAGCTGATATTAAACCCGACAAAAAGATCATTCTGTGTGTCAAATATTATAGAGACTTACAAGAGTGCGAGTCGGGCTGAGGGAGCGAGAGCGCGCCGGGCTGTCATTCCTGCTCTGACTTCTACTCCACTGCAAACAAAACAAAAACACAAAAACAAACTCAACACCAGCAAACACACGAGCCCTTTAATGCTCTTACTGTACATTATTCTCCAGAGAACACTTATCAGTGACTACATGCACACTCATATTCTACTATTATTCAGAGTATGACAATATTCCTAATTTGGTATGGCTCATGTAAACATCATATTCTGTTTGGATATTGTGAATTATTCTGAATGGAGAATTTTCAGATTAAAACATGTGATATGTGGCTATTATTCTGGGTTTAGGAGCGTTCTTTGGACATGTCTACAGCTCATTCACTATCAGAGACTCAATGGAGGTTTTCACGTCTCTCTCCTGTTTACCAGCAGCTCTGTGCGTTGAACACAAACCGACAAACAACAGTTAGTAGAGCTGGAGTCGAGATGATGTCCAGAAGAACAGACGGTTCTCCTTCTGTTCTTCTGGACATCATGAAGGACTTGGATATCAAGAGATTTCTGAATATGAACAAATATCTCAACACCGACATTTTAGAGGAGGTTGTTGGTATATGTTAGTAGAATATTGCATGTAAACGTAGTTAATCCTGATGTGTTTGTAGTATTTTAGAGTCAGTACCACAGCGCCCCGTCGGGTCACAGCCTCGCCCTTCACCACCACAGCGTCTCCTTCCACGAGAGCCGGCCACACGTGGTACATCACCAGAGGAGCCGACAGCTCGGAGTCATAGCTGCGACGGTACCTGCAGACAGAGAGGCAGGGAACAGAAAACAAGAGGGTGTGAGGGGGACATCTACTGGCAGAGATCGGCTGTAGTTCTGAGGGTGATGTGTTTCACAATGATTGCACGGTTTATCTTGGATCAAATCATTACAGGATAAAATGTGAATCCCCAGATAATTAAATGTTCATCTGTAAGTTTCTGTCGTAGTCCCAGTAATAAGTGTTCATAACGTTTACTGAAATATCATCATATGATGCACGTGCATGAAAATATATCCTAAATATCTTCTAAAGTTTGATTCTGCTGGCAAAATATTACTAACGCAAAAGTAGATCTAAGGTAAACAAATCTCCTGGTTTTCACTCATTTAAAAATGTATTTAAAAAAATAATTGTATTTTAAGTAATCCCTTCTGACACACTTTTAGAGGACACTTCTATAAGAGAGACTATCCTTATTTTCTATTTAATTAATTTTGATTATTTTAATTCCTAATTTAAATGATTGGCTTTTATCAGTTGGCCCATTGATGGCAGTCATGTTCTCAGATGTAATGTAATGTTTTTTTCAACTAATATGTTATATATTATGATAAAAAATATTTTATTAAATAGGCTCTAAAAAGTAATAAACTACTTTATTTCCTTACATTTCACCGGTGTAAACAGACGCACACTGGCGTTGTAATGGCAGTACAATTATAATAATAAGACTAATAATGACCGTGCATAATATTTTGTTTTCTTTAGTGATTTTTTAGTTTTTTGCTGTGGTGGCAAAGACGTTACCAGCAGAAACACTGTGCTGCACATTTGTTTTGAAAGAGCAACGGTGTAATTTCATAATGCAGTCAGTCAGTATCAGTGACGGATATCTTTGCAGCGCTAGCTCCCACTGTGCTGCAGCCAAAAACAAGTCTGCTCTTTTCTTTCCTCTCTGGCAGTTTCAGGAGCACGATACATTACCACCACATCGGTGTGATGCTGCTGCCATTACAAATTATAGAAAAGCTTGTTGGAAAATAGTGTTTTTCATTAAGACAGTCAGAGTTTGTCGAGAGCTGGAGGCGAGACAAAATTTGGCTGCGGCGTGCTCGTAATTCTCCATTCAGGAAACCCCTGGATTGTTTGGAACATTAACTTAAACTCTCTATAGACTAAAGACTTTGGGTCGCCCTGTTACAGACACAGTAATGTACAAAGGACTGACTTTCTGTCTACGTAAAGTTCCCCATCACTTGCGAAGGCCAAGTCGAGCGGTGGGTCCAACGTCTGCATGGCGAACGCCACCCTGCAGGTCTCACTGATCAGGGTGCTGATGAGGGCAAAGTCAACCTCTGGCGGGAAAGAGATCCGAGGGTTCATGTTCATGGCGTTGATCACATCCTGTAGAGATAAAAACACACAAGACGGAAGCCCTAAACTTATTCAGCATCAAACAAAACTACAGTTGTGTGTTCGTAGATGCTGCAGAGGACACATGGGAGAAGTGTTAGATTCCTACATCGATGCTGGCCTGAACGTCAAAGAGGTCCAGGTTTCTGACGATGTAGTCCACAGCCATTTCCTCTGGACTCTCCAGCCCGAATCGGGACGGGGACAACGTCTTCTTCACGCGCAGCTTGAACTGACGGTAGGCCAGTTTTGCTGTCTGGAAGGATTCCTGACACGTGATAACATGGAAAGAAAGAACATCTTAAAGTCTATTGTAAGTGACGAAGACGAGTTGTAAAGTTTACCAAAGTCCAAAATAAGCCGTGGAGGAACAAACCGTAACATGTGGAACAACTCAAATAATCACACTTATGTTGTAATTCATTACCATCTTGCTTCTCAGAGTAATCGCAGGACGTTGCATTGAATGGTGCATTCAAGCTCTACTCAGTAAACATGAGAATTGGGCAAAGGTAAACTTTAATGCTATCGTGATGTGTTCAAATGTAAACTCGAATAAATCCAGATGTTTTCACGGTAATATAAATAGTTATTAGAGATGAATTATGAGCTGTTTAACTTCTTAACACTATAGCTCTAAGCAGCTGACAAGATTTTTTTTAGTCAAATAAAAACTCTAATTTCGTGTTTTCTGCAAATAAGCACCATAATTGACAATAACGTAGTAAGAGGATAACATTTACAATTGTTGACTCTTTACATTGACTTTGGGATAGTTGAAATGATGTCATACAGTTGCCATTCTAGGTCTCAGAAGCATTTATAATGACTTTTTAGGAAAAACAAATATACTGTCATTTGGGGTCCAATGGATCATAAAAGTCACGGTTCGGATCGAATCCGCACAAAAGAAAAAAGGAGCGAATATAACTTTTAGAGATCAATCCCAATCATTGGTGATCCATACTGGCATATACAGATACATGTTGTTTTGTTATAGCAGCTGATCTACAAGACTCCAGACCTTTTATTTAGTAAAACCATCAAAAATTCTTTGAAAAATGTCTCTGTTATATTCATCTATAACATTTAATTTCTTCGTAAAAACACACAATTCAAATTATTTGGAACTAGAAGATTTCTATTGCAAAAAAAATAAATCATTAATGGTTTTGATGTATGAGGTATTATAAGCTGGTCAGAGCTAGTGTTTGGAAGTTAAAGGGGTCATAACTTTCACTCTAATATTTTATATTACTGTGAAAGTATCTCCTTCAAACAACTTAATGTCACACTGTGATGGTTAAACTGTGAAATTCATCTGCGGTTCACATGCGATCTGTACGGATCACCGATCGACAACATACCGTTACACCACTAACCGTGATATGTATACCGGTACCGTCTATACTGTGATTTAACCTTTAGGCCGTACCGCCCAGCCTTAAGACCAGCCAAAGAACTTGGCCGTCAAGATAACAGATTTGGCGCTCGTTTTCCCTGCATGCACTTCTTCTGATTGCTCTAAAAATACGTAAGTCGTACCACGACAGCGATGAAGATGATTTTCTGGACCATCTCTAGGTCGACGATGTAGTGTCGTAGCATGCTCTGGGCCTCCAGACGCTCCACGGCGTACAGGTCGCTGAAGCGAGACACGAGGCGGGCGTAGCGAGAGGAGCTGGTGAGCTGAGCTCTGGTGGGCGACTCGCTCCTCGTGGGGCTGGAGGAGCAACTGAGCCTCGACATCGGACTCGGAGAGCGACTCCTCGACAACCTGAGTGAGAGAGACGGAGAGAGACGTTATGTGCAGTTGTGTCTGTTTCTCTCTCTCTCTGTCTCTCTGTCTGTCTGTCTCTTTCTGTCTCTCTCTCTGTCAGTCTGGCTCGGAGAGCGACTCCTCGACAACCTGAGAGAGGTGTGTGTGTGTGTGTGTGTGTGTGTGTGTGTGTGTGTGTGTGTGTGTGTGTGTGTGTGTTTTGTGTTT